GGAATGCAGGGAGTGAAGGGCTCAGCAGGAAGACTCTAGGTGATCAGAACAGCTCAGGATGGAGAGCCTCACTGTAGAAAGGCACTTCTGGGCATGTTCCTTCAGTTCAAAGACCTCACAAAGGCCTAAGTGACCCAAGAGCCAACCGAGGGCAAACCACTTAGACACACTAATTCGGACAGCGCAGAGTGCACCCCCAGAGGCTTCCCAGGGGCCAGGCAAGGAAGCTCATCGTGGACACAAGGCTGAGTTTAGGAATCATGTATTCTCATCCAGGCACTCTGCAGTCTTACTGGGCAACCTGATGCCTCTGAGCCTCAGTTTACTCATCTATCAAAGAAACGATGCAGAATTTCAAAGGTTAGCTGGTCCCACTCTCTCCAGCTGAGGTCCTGTCTGCACCATCCCAGAGAGATGGACACTCACTACCACATGAGTCAGGCATTCCCCATGAGTCAGGTCTAGACCACTAGAAAGCTCTTGCTTTTAATCAAATGGCATAATGGTTGTAATAAAGCTATGAAAATAAAAGTGTAACTGAAGGGGGTAGTTTAACTCCACTGACAGCAAAACAGTAGCAACATTAGTAGCATTAGAGAGGGTACAACCGGGCAAAGGTAGCTTAAGGAGGGAGCCAAGGAGGAAAGGGTACAGAGAGGCCCAGCTAAGCGCCCAGTTCTCTCTGGGGAGCTCAAACTGCTAGCTGAAGTGGAAGCTTGCTCTTCCCAGTCCTGCTCTGACAGAGAGGTACATAATTACTGCGAAGAGGGAGCATGCAGGGCTCCTGGGGTTCTGCCATTTGCAGGAGGGGAAGGTGGGGGCGGGGCTGACAGATATTCAAATGAGTAGGTACAGAGAGGCTGTTCTGAACCTGCTTGCCCAGCATTCCCTACTCAGTAGTGGAGAAGGGTTCACTGCAAATGCAGGGGCTCTGGTAGGAGTCAACATATAGACATCAGAACTGAAGGGACTCTGACAGCCTCAGCTGGCAGATGGAGACACACAGAGGGCACGCTTGGGGACCACAGTGGCCCACCTAGTTCAGGGCTGCCCTGTGGGGAAAGCCCAGGCAGGGTACCTGCCAGGTGAAAGCAAGTGTTCACACAGCATCTGACAGGTGACAGGGCCTCGTGGCTACCTCTCCAAGCCCCTAGCTCAGGTATCTCAACATCCCCCCACCACCTGTGAGAGCCCCACTCCAGAGCCCATGCAGCAGACCCAGGGCCGGACAGCAGGGTCCACTCACCTACGATCTCGTTCTCCTCCAGGTTGATGGTCTCCAGCGCCGGCAGGGTGGTGAGCTGCTCGGGGAAGTCTCGGAACTGGTTGCGGGACAGGTCGATGGTCCTGAGGTGGTGCAGTGTGCTGACCTCATTGGGGAGGCGGTGTAGGAAGTTGCCTTCCAGGCGGAGCTCTGTGGCGTGGAGGAATGGAAGGAGAGGATTGTGAGGGGGACCATGCAGAGACCACTATGGCTGTCGCCAACCCACTCTCTACACCTGGGCTAGGAATGCAGGGAAGAAAGCTCAGGCCTCAGAGAATGGTTCCAGGTGGCTGCTTCCACGTTCGTTTACACCAGAGGAGGGTCAGGCGCACCCCACTGCCTAGACCTGCCACAGGTCATCCTAGCAGAGGGCACCTGCATTGGCTTTGAAACAGAAGGCTCCCTTGACAAGCCTAGGCCCAGACCAAGGGTCATGGTGTGCCGGCTCCTCCCTTAGACCAGGCTCTAGACCTTGATGGGACAAATCAAATGGACAGCAGCCCCTCCACCAGGCTCTCCACACCCTGCAGCCCAACTAAGGGACACCACTCTCCACGGCCCTCTGCTCAAGGGGCAGCCAAGCTCTATGTCATGTGCCCCTGGTCCCTTGCCCAGCCACAGTTGACTAGACGTGGGGGGTCCCTGATCCGAGAGTGGCTGCTCCAGAAGGTGACCAGTGACTTATGCTGGGCCTTGTGTGAGAAGGGAGCTGGTCCAGCAGGCCCTTGTTAGGAGAGTGCACACGCACACGCACACGCACACACACACACACAAGCCCTCACACCCAGAAGGGTCCTGCACAATCTGTGCTTTATAAGCAGAGCCGGGGTCACGGGTCTGGGCTCACACGCGGTCCTGCTGCCCTCAGCCTCTGCAGGGTGGGTTGCAGGCAGCCTGTGCTCCTGCTCCTTGATGTCCCATGACCTGCCTAGCCTCCTCGTCTCCATCCCTGCTCTGTGACTGTCGCAGCCTCGCCACCAGCAGGGAGGGTCACAGTCAAGCACGTGAACCCCATGTGTCTCTGGGTGAAGCATGGTAGCAGCTCCGCCCCCACCCCCCCCGG